CAAGCCGCGTCGGGTGAAAGGGTTTGGCGAAAAATAATCCTGTCTCAATTTATAATGATTATAATCAACAAAAAACATTTTATAATTAAAATTATATTTAATAATGCTAAGTTTATAACATATAGCTTTTTAAAAGTGCAATTATTTCCAGAATAATAAATTAGATTAACTCTATTAACTATTAAATTAGGATTAATTTTCGAAACTTTTTGGCCTATTTATATAAAAACATTGTCAAAGCTAAAAGATATAAATAAATCTAAACTATCTTTATAAATTTTATAATGATGAATTTGATTATGTACTGCTTTTATAGTGACATATACTTGATCAGTATGTCTGACAAATCTTTGCTTTTACTACTTAGTACTTTCTCTGTTTTGCTTGCTAGCGTATTTTCTTTACATATTTATATATGCTGTAAGCTCTGAAAACTTCAAATAATATTGATGATATTAAAGAGACCTTTTTGATCTCGCTAAAACAACTTTACAAAAAATAAAATTTATTTGCTCACTTAATATTGCGAGGGAGTTTATTTTTTAGTTTTACTTATATATTTTTATTTATTTAAGTGCTAAAAGAACAATTTATCCGTTTAACTGGCGATATAAATAAAATAAACAACGCAATTATATCTTTAATAGTAATAAAATGAGATAGTAACAATTAAATTAAAATTTTATATATTTTTTTAGATTTAATATTTATATTTTAGCTCTGTATTATTTTTAGTTTAATTATATTATCACATGTTCCGTTGACATCGAACAATACTTGTTCATCAAAATACCACGTTCGAATATATTCACGACCGCGGTTAGAATCAAGTCCTCAGAATGTTACACGTCCCTGATTACACGAATTGAAACAAAAACGTTGGGAGCCGTCTGGTCGACGCGATCCATCGCGACCCCAATGTATCTTACCCACCAGCGCATTGACCTACCCCAACTCGGAGCTGCACCATTGAGATGTTGCTCAGCTGCAGTCGCGTCCCTCGAAGGGCTGTGCGTTACGTCATCGCTCATAGTCGACCGTAGTTGGCACGCGGTTTCGCCCTACGCAGACACCCGCGTCTGATTTATGCATCCTACGGGTTCAAGAGGATACTATTCGCCGATATGAATGCCAGCAAAATTTTTCCTCCAAGTTTGAAAATTTAAAAAGAACAATTTCTCTGAAATAAAAGTAACTACCAATTTGTGTGTGTGTGTGTGTGTGTGTGTGTATTATAGTTTTAACTACAGTTCTGCAGCATTAATCATTAATAGTATTTTTGTAATTAATATAACTAGATTCTACATTTCTTTATTACTTTTTAATACATTTATAACAGTTTTTTTAATTTTGTTTTAAAGATATTAAATAATTTTTATTCTTTCAGAACTTTATATAAAATTAATTTATGTAAATGCTTTTGTGGAAAAAGTACTCTCCATAATGTAAAACATTGAATGTATATTAAATAATTAAGTTACAATCAATCTAGTCATATGTGCTTTGGTATTATTATTTCAGAACTTTGAATCCTTTAATCATGATAATACAAAAATTATATGTTTTTAATAATTTTACAGAAACATAATTATAATTCAAGAAGAGAGGAATAGTTGCTTTTTATATAAACTAGTAGTTTTAATAATTTTAAATTACATACATATCTTAAGAAATCATATTCGCAGAAAACACTTTTTTTTTTAACTAACACAATAAGTAAACTTTAGCGTGCACTGTGTTATTCATTTTAGAGAAAACATTTTCTATCTTATTGTTAATCTTTTCTTTATAAGGCATAAGGAAATTTCTCGGTGTTCAACATAAAATAATTAATAACAAATTATATCTTCTCATACATAAATTTTATTTTAGTTTGTTCCTTTCACGGGAATGCAATTGCATTTCATTACTTTCTGCTTGTACAGCTAATACTCATTGGCAGAATTCCCAGAAACCAAACTAATCTATTCTTTTCCATTTTTTGTATAAAGCATCGACTGGAAGCAAAAGTGCCGACGTCGATGTCAAAAAATTGATTTTAAATGGTATTTATGAATGACAGTGTCGGACGACTATTTAATATACAGGACATCTTGAAATAGTATATAGTAGTGGGAATTTATTCTACAAGTAATCTTTGTATTGAACTTTTCTTTGTCAAAAATTTCATTTAAATGTTAATAACTGCACTTTTTAATATTCACAGTTAAAAGGTTTTGAATCTGCACAGATCTTTTAGTAGAAAAAAATATAATAAAAAAATAAATTAAAAGTTGAAAAAAATAATACAAATTGTCTTTAAATAGCAGTATAGTTTGCATAAATTTTAGTTCTCTTGAGTATTTGTCGACAATTTTAATATATTGAAATATTATTAAAGTTTCATATTTTTATCCTCTTATCTCGATAAAATATGATCCATACAAAGCATTGTTAAACTGGAGTTAGCTTAAGTATTGATCCTTTACAGATACAGATTTGTTAAAAGCTTATTCAGTGCATTGTCGCTAAAATAAATATTTCCATAAAAAGAGATATATTTAAGCACACAGTTTTTTGTGCACATTTTTTTCAATTAAATGACGTATTATTTATATTACTTTAGCCCCCTGGTTCTCTCTTTTTTTCAATTATTCACGCAAAAAGAATATTGATTTACGTTATTGCTTAAATTTTAATAATATAATTTTATGTTTTATATATTCTAATTGTATGTTACAAACACAACTAATTTATATAAATTGAATAGTGTTAAGTATGACCAATTTACATTATTGTTTCGAAAGTCATAAAAGAGATAAGACTATACATTTAAATTTTATTTAATTAAAACCTTAATAGAAATGTAACATAAATACTCCAAATATTCAATAACAGAATCATACCTGTTATACGTCTACTTATTGAATTCCTTAATAAATTATTGCGAAAGATGCGGAAATCGAGATTGGAATAATCCAATTTTGTTCTGTAAAATTCCTGCATATTTGAATAAATGACAGTGATAAAATTCCTTTACGTCACTTTATAAAACTTTAGAAAAGAAAAACTAAAATGCCATTCTTGCTTTCATAAACTATGTCAAGATTGAAGAAAAGAATCTCGGCTTGCACGAATACAGGGTAATATCTTAGGGAGTATATTCGGGACAATAACCATTAGCATACGCTGATTACTAATCTAAAATTTAGATGTAATCTCGATTGTAAATTTCTCAGCATATAAATCCTGATATTTCACAATTCTGAATATTGTGCATTACGACTCTAAACTTGTAAGCTATAAAATCTCAATCTTCAGTTCTCAATTCTTAGTCTTCAACTCTTGGCTTTCATCAGCTCTCATTTTCGCACAAGTTCTTTAATTTTTCCAATAACACATTATTATAATTACAATTAATAAAATTTACGAGTTTTTCTTTGTAAAGAGTTGTCTACAATAAGGTGTCATACTCCGACAACGTTTGTGCATAATCAAGGCCGTAATTCACCGAAACTTACGCTGAACGAAAAAGCCGGATCGTGGAAGCTCGGGACTAAGCTAAGTTTCCCTCTCGCATCAATGGCACGTACACAGAAAGGGTAGGCGTGGCACTCTACGTTGGATGCTCGCGCGTGCACCGGACGCGAAGGGATGAGACAAGCGGGTATGAGCAGGAGGTGGAATACGTGCGTATGGGATGCCGCGTGAGTCAGGGAAACGAAGACAAGGATATGAGGACAGAGTTATTTCGCGAGATGAAACGAAACGAACGACGTGTGCGTAAGACGAGGATGATAAAATAATGAAGAAGCAAGAGAAAAGGAAAGAGAGGAGGAAAGAGAGAGACAGAGAGAGGGGGAAAGGGAGGAAAAGCGAGAAGGGTTGAATCTGCACGGGAATGAAATAGCGGATAGAGGGTAGCTGCGAGGAACATTCTTCCTTATCCCGTAAGCGCGAGTGAGAGAAGTAGAGAACGTGCGCCGTGAAGAGAGCGGAGTCTCACGAGAGCGAGGGAGAGCGTGAGAGAGGGAGCGAGAGCCAGATGGAGCAGGACAGAAATGCAGGGCGCGAGACCGCGCGACGCTTTCAGTCACCGCCCGATCCTCGGCGCGCACGGTTTTGGAGCGGGTGTTTCTCTATCGTGGGAAATAGAATCGGCGATTTAAATGGAAGTCTTTTGAGGGATGGGAATCGTGTGATTGGCGTATCGAATGCACGCGTCGGACGAAAGTAGAGCGGCGCGATTGTGCTGGAAAAATCGGCGATCGAAAGGCTGAGTGCGCGAGTATATCGCGATACCGAGACCTCGATGTGAAATTAACTTACAAAAGATGGAATGAGAATCGCAAGAAAGAACTGTGACTAAATTTCGTTACCATGATACAGGTGAAAACGCGCATCGGTTAAATGCAGAAAATATCGAGACCAATCAGAATATAAACGAATACTCTCATTAATCACGGCGGCGTAAGAATTTTACGAGAACTTATTATCTTTTCTCTACTTTTTGATTTCAATCGTTTTTCATCGAAACGGTATCGATTCGTCGTCGAAGGCCTACATCGATCATGTAGTCGCGAGGCGGTGTCTCAACTAGCGAGAAACTAAATCAGAAGTCGCGCGGGTGTGTTTCAGAATTAAGTGGTGCGAGTGGAATGACTTTTTTCACTCAGTGATTTTTAATTATTCAGAAACCTTTAGTGCATTCATACATGTGTAATGTGAATACACGGACAAATAACTCCGACTTTATCTGCGGATTTGTCGTAGCGAAATGAAGGTGCATCTCTGCCAGACTAGGAGTAGTTAGGTGAGCAAGATTAAAAAAATATTCTCGTGTTACGTCAGCGGAAGACGCCTTTTTTTTAGAGGCCGGGGAAAATAATGCAGAATAATTTTTTATTAGGTTATTACTACATTTTTAACTCGCTTTTTAATTAAAGTGATAAATATAATGTGTGTGTGAAATGTAGCACAAAATTCATATTTATATCTTTAGATGAAAATATCTGACCAATCTAGAATTAATTTTCTTTTAAGACAATAAAACATTGACGTTTTCAATTTTATAATTATTTAGATAATTGAGCTCAATATTGAATTTAACAATTCCTGAGTTAAAAGCAACTCAAAATAAAGAATTCTTACTAAATTAAGTTGTATGAATGTTAAAATAAGATTATAGAATTAATTAATTTTGAATACTATATGGAAATGCAAAAAGTTGCTTGTCAATCACGTTTTTAAGAAAAGTTTAATTGTAAATTAGTCAAAGAATTTTATTATGCGAAACAGTCACTGAATTTTGAAACGACTATTGTGTAAAAATAGAAAATATAATTACACTTGATAATTTATAATTAAAAATTTAGTTCTTGTATTTTCTTTAATTAAATGATACATCTCTTGTAAATTCATGCAATATTATCTGCGTGATTAATAACGTAAAATACTTTTGTCCCCGGCCTCTGTAATAGCATTTAATTAATCCTTTGAACAGTGCATCTGTTTGGCTTTATGTTAATAGCGTTATATTGACAGTTCATATTATTATAGTTACAATTGCTACTGTTATAATCAGAAATTAACAGAGAGAATTATAAAATATAAATTAAGTAAAAATATACTGTTAATCTCTGTCACTAAAATAATGAGATACATGTGTAACACGCGTGACATAATAAGTTCAATATTTCATCATTATTTACCATAAATGAGTCAACAATCGGCATAAAGTATATCATTTATATTAATAATAACAGTAATAGAATTGAAAAATCAAACTAGCTATAATTAATCTCTTCATTATCAATATAGTAAAAACTGTTAAAAATTTATTGTTTCTTTCGATTCTTAGTTTTTAGCTTTCCACATTATTTTGAAAATTATTGAATATATAGAATAATAATATTAAAAATAGAACAATAAATTAAAAGAAATTAGAAATTATCTGCTTTAGAATAATAATTTTCATATTATTTTAGTCAGTTTATATCATTTTTGACAGTACCTTATTTATAATTTATGCATGTTATTTGTCTTATTTCAAGCTGAAAAGTTGACAGTAAGTCAAACTAGAAAGTTGAAAGTGATATAACCTTTTTAAATTTTCACGAGACACATTATCGACATATTTCGAAAAGAAATTGTTATAAATAATACGTTAAGAGAGATCGCAACACAACCTTTTATCGATCGTCAAAAACAAATTATATTCAGTTTTAAGTTTCTGTCTGATTTTTGAACATCGCCGGCTGCAGGATAAATAGAAAAGTGCGAGAAGGGTGCCTGAAAGTGGCGATCGACCCACCGGACTGACCGACCGACCAACTGAAGGAGAAAATGCTATTTCGCTAATGGAAAGTCGGATCCACAAATCGGCGGTACCGCGGCGCTCGCTCGCCTCTTTGTCTTTTGGGCCCCGCATACTCCGGTTTTTCAATTTAAAACGACTTCTAAGGAGAACGAGGGTGAGGGGTCGTTCGATCGATATCGAGCGGGCCAAATGGCACCGGTAAATTGGAATTGTTACCGATAACGACGTTGTCAGAGGCAGCCGTGGGTTCGCGTGTCCTTAGAAATCATTCCGCGTAATTCAAGTATAACTTTTACCGAGTACAGATCCTGTAGTAATGAACGTGCGAGGCAATATCAAAATCGGTTTCCTATTCGCGCGAAATCATTGTTGCGAACCTCGGGAAGGTGTCGAAGACTTTAAAGTTTCTATGTGATGGATTTTTTAAAAATAGTTTTAATTATATAATCTATGGTTGCTATATTTTATTCCTAAACTTTTGTATAATTGTACTTTTGCAACTCTTGTACTTTATATTATATAATTAAAGTACTCTTACACTTTAATATAATTTCTTAGCTGTAGTTTCTGTTGTGCTTCCAAATGCGATAATATTCATAATTATATTACAACATCATAACCTTCTACAAAATAATTTTTATCAAGAGTTAAAGCAAGACAATTTTTATTAAAAAATATCAATGATTTTCTATTTATAAAACTAAGAAATCGTGCACTTTTTTTGAAAACATATTCCAGATGAGAAAACATATTTTCCACAATACGAGAATTTATAATTTATTATAGTATTATACTCAAATCTTTTAATACATTTAATAAATCAATTATTGGATTTAATATTAAATGAAAACTAATTTTCAACAAAATTAGTTATTAAATTATGTATATATTAAAGTGTATAAATACAATTATATATATGCAATTTGTACATAAAAACAAGCAAAAAAAGATAATATTGATTCTTTATTTATCAAAGCATAAATAGTGTTTGCTTTTTATACTAACTATGTAAGACGTTTTCAAGATATAACAGAATGTTTGACTTAAAGACATAATTGAAAGTGGTGTGTGTGTATGTGTTATGATTCTTTCTATATAAAAGTTTTCCAATTCATATACATGATGAATTTTTGATTAGCTGTCCAGGCTAAATCGGCCAGAAAGTTCGTCGCAGCGTCAAAGCAAACTCATAAATCCTGTATCATTATTACGACGTTCGTTAAGAAACTTCCGTTTCGGTCTTTAACATCGCCGAGTTGCCGCGCGTTTCCAGTTTCGTCATATCGTACGGTTGATTCAGTGTACTGATCGCGCAGTTTCGCAGTTATGGCAACCGTAACGTCGCTTATTGCGATAAGTTATAGCTTTGCCAGCGCATATACATTCGATGTATACACGCGGAGAGATAAAGGAATTTTCGTAAATTTCGAAATTAACATACGATAAAACATACCATCCAAAATTATATGCTCAAAGTGATGAAAGATGTGTTAACGTTAACGTGCGAACCGCGAAAACAGATTAAACTCGTCAAAAAGTTTTAACATAAATTGTTCGAAGGATGCTTTATTCGCAAAATACGTTTGCTTGCTTTTTTATAAATTCCATGCGGGAACCGATGCCGAGAATTACATCGATTAATTTGAATTGTTCTACGAGAGATACGGTTGTTTTCAGTAAAATACAATTATTAGTTATATTTCACAACTGTAAAATATTAAAACCGCTATCAGAACTGTCGAAAGTTTGCAAAATGTTCATTATTAAATACATTGTACAATACATCTTACATAATTTTGACATGAAGTATTAAGTACACAACTTATATGCAAACTGTTATTCCAGAACTTCTGATTTAAATTTGAATAATTATTTGATAAATTAAAATATATTTTTTAATAAAATTTTTTAGTAAATAATGATTTATTTACTTCAATCAACAAGAATTTCAAGTAGATTTTTTATTATAAATTTAAGATATAACCTTTCTAAAAATTTTTCTTAAAAAATATTTTAAGTTTATCAAATAATTATTCAAATTGAAATCAGAAGTTCTGGATGGTTTGCATATGGAAAATTGCGACATATGCTTATATATATGTATAAGCACGGATAACAAAATAAAAAGTTAATTTGTGTATTTATTCTTTCTCCTCACTTTAATCATTATATTTTAATAATATTATTAATATGATTATTGGAATAGCTAGAAGGCGCGAGAAATATTTTGATGTTAGTTGGCAGTAAAGACTTTAATTGACCCTATACTGGCTATTATTATGATCGTCACGACAATATGACCATTGGTTTTAGTCATCAGATTAATCATCAAGACGTTTTGACCATGGGTTTTGGTTCTTATAATCTAAATTAATGTAATTTTGATGCTTATATATGTATACAAGCATTCTCTCTATTTAAATAATTTAATTTATTAAATTATAAAAAATATTACCTCAGCCAGGATTGAAACCTGCACTGAGAGAAATTTTTTGCTGTATTAGCAAATCATTTGTCAGTATAGTGACAGCAAACAGTTGGTTTGCTGCGAGAGCTAATTAATTTAGCAATAGTAGCAAACCTTTTGTTGGCAACAGCAAAAAGTTTGCTCTCGCAGCAAATCAAATTTTGTTGTCACTTAAATTTCTCTCTGTCATGTCAGTGTGAAACTTCCCAATTCCATGTAGGGTGTCGTATATACCAATTCGACCACTAAAGCCTTTACTGGCGAGGTAAATACTACTTATTCGATTTTAATGTTAGATTCGTTATTTTACTTAATGCATGAGAATATCTACTCTGCAACGATGACTGATGCTGCGATATACCAGTGATGTAATAGAAAAGATTCTTTAATTAAGTAAAATTGACGCCACCGAAAGTTTGCGTAAATTGTTGATACGCTCGAAAGTCGAAAGTTCTCACAAATGCTGTCTGTCGATGCGTACTCATTCGCTTAACGCTTGGCATCCAATGATGAAGAGAGCTCAATTATGTAATTGTAACACGGAAAGTGCAACATCCGTGTGTATCATCGAATAAAAACTTACTATACTACTCAAGCAAGAAAAAAATTGGTCACTTCGCGTCTGCTTTAATTTACTTTCTAAATTAATTGCCGGCAGTCAAATGTCTCTGCAATTATTTAGAAATATTAGATTTACAAATGTAGGACATTTCCAAACATGCTTTCTTTATTTCTCTTTAAATAAACAATGTGTACAAAAATTTGTAGTTGCTCGATTCAATAAGATTTTTTGATAATCTCGAAATTTGTGCAATAAAAATGTCGGAACTACCGAATCGATAGTTTATGCGATTATTTATACAGCTTTATAAAGCGTATTACAAAATAATAACAAAATTACATGATATGAGTTATCACTTTATCGGTGTTCTGTAAAAGTAACTTTGAAAATTGAATTAAATATTTTGAAATATTCTATTATAAAAAAATCTCGGGTAAGTAAGTAATATTCTAGTAATCTTTTAAC